TCTCTGATTCACAGACGTTGCATGATGCTGCGGCGCAAGGCGACACGGATCCCGATCCAGGGGGAGCACAGGACACTGATGAGGTACGCGTACCACAAGCATCCTCTCGTCGACGAATGCTTAGACAGACTTGGCGTTATACCAATCCTTCGAGCTTGCCAACGCCAACGTCCAATACTGGATATTGGACCTTCGTATCGTTCTAGCGGCGTTACCCGGCATGCCTGACGCTCGCGCCCCACCCGTTGCATGCCTCATCCCACCCGTTGCATGTTCGCGCCCCACCCGTTGCATGCCTCATGGACCCCCTGCAGGTGGAGGAGCTCATCAAAATCGTGACCGCTGCCGTCGACATTCTGGCTTGCCCACCGTATCAACGATTTAGACAGTGCATTAGAAACGCCTTACCTTGCCCATTGCGCTTGACTGTCGCTGTAGGTCTGTGTTTCCTTCGAGGATGCTTTTCCCCCCACCCCGCTTTTTTCCCAAGTGGTTTTGCGGGGTGGTCGGGGTTTTTAACGCACTAACGAGGAGCCGGACTTCCACCAGTAAGCTGAAGACGGCTTGCCTAGCATACATTACATAGCACTGTATGTACACATGTACCTAGGACTTTTTCGTGCCGGTGGTGAGACAGTGCGGTCGGCTTCATCAGCTCACGAAAACCGTCGAGCTGCTTGGCACGCTGTCGACTGCACGAGTGGCGTACGTGCAGCGCAGCAACCGGCTGTTCCGCTACCGGGACCTCGTCGGCAATATACCTACCTACCTACCTGAAGGTGCGACCCGTCGGCGTTCCTTCATAAGTCAAGTAGGCGGATAAGAAACACCATGTGCAACGTCGTGTACCTCGAGCGTGCAAAGATAGACGGTGAAGATGACGTAAAAGCCACGCGCCTAGCTTGCCCTTGAACTACATCCAAACCACCTTGTCGTGTCGAAAACCCCGCAGTCGGCAGAAAATCGCCCGACCGTAATCTCAGGACAATATGTCTGGAGAGTGTTCAGTTATGTTCCACGACTCGTGAGTGCAGTTAGACGCTCATCAACTCCACGTCCGTTGCTCACATCATACTCTCCCTACAGCTCGGGAAGCTGCTCGTCTGAGCTCGCGGACCAGCAACGTCACGACCTTGACAAGGAAATACAAACTTCGCTTGCACAGATCGAATCCTTAATGGAACATGTGCGCTCTTTGCGTGAATGCCGCAACAGGTTGGTCCCCGTCGCCCGACTCCCTCCCGAAATGCTAGCCGCCATCTTCAAGTTCTGCACGCTCGACTCAGACGAGTGGCTTCGCTTCCCCTCAAGCCACATCTTCACTCACGTTTCCCGGGACTGGCGCAGAGTAGCGGTGAACGCGGCCCATCTTTGGACATCGGTTCCTCGCGCCACTACGGAGCTGACGCAACTTTTCTTGTCGAGGTCGCGCAAAGCGCCTCTCTTCATCCGCCAGCATTCGAGTTGCGGGCCCGCTGAGGATGCTACGATGGATTTAGCGTCTGGCCTCATGGATCGCCTGCAAAGCCTCGACCTGTCTGAGGGGTTATGTACCGAATGGTGCCTGAAAACATTGTCGTCCCCTGCACCGCTCCTCGAGAGCTGCGCGATACGATTTTCTGCTTTACAGCCGTCGCTACCAGAGGACTTCCTTGGCTCGGACGCACCACGTCTTCGTCACCTCTCCGTCGCTGACGTCTCGCTGGCATGCTCGACGATGCGCTGCCCTTCACTCGTTAAAAATCTTACCTGCTTCCGAATGGATGTCTGTTCTTTGGGAATATATCCCTCTGGGAGGGAGCTAGCCATGGCCCTTCGCTCGATGCCCTTCCTGCAGGACCTGATTTTGAATTTCGGGACGAGAGATCCTCTTGACCGTATCGCAGTCCGAGCATCTGCACCAGTCTCACGAGATGTAATCTCTATGAATCATCTGCGATATCTGGGCCTTCGTGCGCCGGGACCCTCAGTTTGCGATATTTTGGAATATCTCGCGTTACCTCCACAAGCCTCGCTGTCGCTTAGGCTCCACTCCGTTGATAAGGCTTGGAACGTCGATCCCCTCGCAGCAGTTTTGAAACATCGCATGTGGGCCTTGCGGCATCTATCCTTTACTCCCCGCCCCAACGTGGATGGGGAGCACCTTCGATGCTACTCGACACCCACCCCGACCTCCGACGATGAACCGCTACTTTCTTATGCCTTGTATCATCGCCAGACCGATTTATGGCACTTAATAAGCAAGCTCCCTTTAGATCGCCTCGAAACAATCGTACTGCATCATGGCCCAGTCAATCACACACCGAGCATCGTGCGCCTTCTCGACCGTTGCCAACATGCCTCCAGCCTCGAGATTCGGGGTGCTGCATTCTGCCAACAGGTCGTACGGCTCCTCCTTCCATCTTCTAGCTCTATCTTGGTCCCCCGACTCGCACGGTTATCCTTGGAATTTCAAGAGGAGAAGATGTCCGACGAATTCGTCGCTGATATCCAAACGATGTTGATTGAGAGATACGAGGTGTCGGGCGTGATGCCCGAACTGACTCTGATTGATTCCGGAGTCATATTTCCTGCGCTGCTTCCCAAGCATGTAGTGACGCTCGGACAGATCACGGCCACGCACTGTGTTAAGCGTTGACCAGCAGACGAACGACGGATCGTTTTCCTTTTGCTTTTCGGCGCGACCGAGGTAGACCAGACGTGTACGATAATGACGTAACTATCTCGATGTTGCCTATCTGAAGCACAAAGAAACAACCCCATCTGCGCGGCGATTTTCTGGGGTTCTCAAAGCTCCTGGCCCGCGAGCCACCGCTTCACGAGCTCCAAAGATTCCGCCGGCTTGTCGTACGGGACCATGTGCCCCGCGCCGTCCACGGTCGCGAACGTGAGCCCCCTCGCGCTCCTCGTCTTGCCCGCGGCGGTGCCGTTCACCTCCCACTCCCTCAGCTCCAGTCCCGCGAACTCCTCCTGGCCCGTCCACTCCAGCTCGAGCGTCCACCGCTCGTTCCCGACCCAGTTGCAGATCCAGTCGTACGCGCCGACGTAGATCAGCGCGCGCACGCCGCGCTCGAGCAGCGCCGCGACGTAGAGGTAGGTGGGCCGGTACATGTCCATCGCGCCGTGGAACTGGGCGCCGACGGCGGACGAGCAGGAGGTGAAGTTGCCCGTCACGGCGGGGTCGACGCCGAGCGCGTCGCGGACGGAGGGCAGGTCGAGGAAGCTGCTGATGTGCTTCGTGATCGGGTAGCAGAGCGTTTCCGAGAGCGGGCCGTCGCACACTTTGCTGATGTCGTAGGGATTCATGCCTGCGGAAGAGGCGAAAAAGGGGATCGGCGGGTGAACGCTTTCGTACAGGGAAAGGCGAAGCGACGTACCGGTGGAGAAGAACGGGGCGTCGATCTCGGTCGCGCAGAAGCTCATGGCGGCGCCGCAGTTGATGGCGTCGAACTGGTCGACGCAGGATTCTTTCGCCCATTTTTGGCATCGGGGGATCTTAATGCACGCGTGGTCAGCGAGCAAGATATCGGATACGCGCGGAGGTTGTACGCACGGCTTGCTTCATGCGGACGCAATCACTGATTCACCCATCAGCTCAGCTTTCCATGGACGTCAAACATGAGACGCTTACGCGACAGGCAAGATCGGGTCTACAGATGCAGGCGTGCACATCATGTCGTACTTGGAGGGTTCCAGAGTGTAGAAGTCCGTCACTCCGTTGCCTGAGAGACATCAATTTTTGTCCTCCTGCACTCGCACGGGACACGACCTTACCGATCATGATAGACGTCAAGTTGATCGGGGTAAGGCCCGCCTCGACGAGCTTCGCGTTCTGGTCGTATACGGCCGACGCGAACACGGGTATGTATCGCCCGCCGTACGATTCGCCAGCCATGTGAAACCCGCGCCCTTTGAACTTGCTGAAGTTCTCGAAGAAGATCGCGACGAAGGCGGCGATGTCGGCGGCGGCGTCTTCGGTGGTGTCCTACGTATCCCCATCAGCATCAACGGAAACGGAAAGAGGGAAATAAGGTGCAAGAGGGACGCACGACGTGTTCACCATGTTCAGCGTACGAGAAACCGACACCGACGGGCTGGTCGATGAAGAAGATGTTCGCGGCGGCTGGAGAGGATCGATGCTCAAGTCTAGACCGAACGCGTAAGCAAAGGTACCACGCACCATTCCATGAGTATGGGTTATACACTGTCTTGTGGTCTGCGGAGGGAACACGGCAGGGACCTGTCGAGCGCCAGTTGAGCCAGCAGGAGACTAGAGAGATGTGCTGAACTAACCGAGTTCCATGAACAGCCCGATCGACGAGCTGCAGCCTGGGCCGCCATTTGTCCAGAGGATCACATCGTCCTTGTCCGGATCGTTCCTACTCTGTCGAGACGGGGAGAGAAACGTGTAAGCCGGATTTGACCGAAACGTAAAGGGCAGATCGAGCACCTCAAAGAAGTAGAAAAAGAGATGTTTGGCTTCGATGTCGATGTAACCCGTGTAGGCACTGCGTGTGAGCCATGTCGTGAGTGAACAAATTCGTGTTGGTGGACGAAGGTACTAGTTTCAACTCTCTGAACGCCTCTGCCCTCTCGACGTCTACCACGACGCGCACACCATCCGAGAATGGGAACGGGTATGGAATCGACTGTATCTGCTTACTTGACTCCACCATCGCAAAAGTCCGTCGATTTCTTGATTCTGACGCTGTGTTTCGGGAACGCTGGATGCGCGAGCGTCGTGTACGTCGCGTCCGATAAGGCGCTCAGGCTCTCCACCGGGGTAAACAACCCCGCATCGAAGTTTGAGACCTTCAGATCGTAGCTCGCGACGCTCCCTGACGCCTGACGCGCCGATTGGCTATACGCGTAGCTTAAAACCGAGCCGAAGAGGGGAAGCTGTTGACCAGCGACGGAGGCGGTGGCGACCGCGAGAGTGCACAACGCGCGGAGCAGCATGGCGGGTTATGGCCTTGGTGAGGCACACGGGAGATCGCGTACTCGAGGTCGAGGTCTTGGATAACCGTGAACAAGGGTCGTTTCGTATTCTTGGGCGCGTCCATATGCAAACGCGCAGTCGGTTCCGTCGGCACACCATGATGGCATGTGGTCGTGGTGAGTTTCGCATGCTGACATACAGACCGAGCCAGGTAGGTAGGTAGGTAGATTGCCGACGAGGTCCCGGTAGCGGAACAGCCGGTTGGACTTGTACTATTTTCAATCAACACGATGGTACTGTACATTCTAAGTCAAAGAGATTGCATGCGCACACGCCCTCGATCCGTGTATGTTTTGACTTGGAACATAGGATAGCGTCAATCGATAACGCGTCTAGAACGAGACATGGTATCCCTAGTCTTAGCGTTTGCGACTCTGAACGATACCCTCTTGTCTCCGAACAACAGCAAGATGACGCCGCAGGACTCGAAGCCGACGACGGTGGACGTCGCGCAAGCGCTGCACGTTCCCATCGCCGGGCCCGGCGCCGAGGCGCTTTCCACCCTCACCGACGCGCAACGTTCCTTCATCCGCTCCTTACCCAAAGCCGAGCTGCACGCGCACCTGAATGGCTCGATACCGCTCCACGTCCTCCAGGAACTCGCGCGAGAGCGCCAGGATCTCTCGATCGCCTCCGGGTCCGCAGACGACCCGCAAGCACGGCTCGTGCGCGACGGACTCGCGCGGCTGCAAGACGGCGTGCAGCTGACGGAAATCCACGACTTCTTCGGTCTTTTCCCGGCGATATACGCGCTCACGTCCGACCCCCGCTCGCTCGCTCGCGCGACGCGCGCCGTCCTGCACGCGTTCCTGGAGCCGTCTCCACGCGATCCCGACTCGAGACCGCAATGCACCTACCTCGAGTTACGCTCGACGCCGCGGGCCACGCCGCAGATGACACGAGAGGAGTACGTGAAGACGGTGCTGGACGAGGTGGAGCGGTACGGGGAGGAGACGGCGGCGTTGCTCGTGAGCTTGGATCGAAGGATGGACGAGGGGGTGGTGAAGGAGGTGATCGATCTCGCGGCGAAGCTGAGGGCGGAGGGCCGGAGGGTAGTCGGAGTCGATCTATGTGGCGATCCGACGGTGTGTGCGCGAGCTCTGCCACGCTGCGAAGACTCAGGGAACTGACGTCCGCGTAGGCAGGGGACGTGGATATGATATGCCGACACGTCAAGAGGGCGAAAGATGCAGGACTGAGCGTCACTTTGCATATAGCGGAGGTTCGTTTCGTCCACCATCGTGAAAGCTCCGCGTTGACGCACCGCAGACGACCATGAACTCGGCGGACGAGACGCTGAAACTGCTCGCTTGCGGCCCATCGCGCCTAGGACACGCCACTTTTCTGAACGAAGAAGCGAAAGAGATAGTCAGACGCGAGAAGATGTGCATCGAGATCTGCCTCTCCTCCAACCTTCTGTACGTCCTCATGGATATATGCGGTCAGGCAAGACGGACTGACGGCTATCGCATTTTAGATGCAAAACCGCCAGATCCATAGACGAGCACCACATCCAGTACTACCTAGAGCACAATCACCCCATCGCCATCTGCGTGAGCTTTCCTCTCTGTCCATCTCGCCATTTCGATACAACTCACTTCCTTGGTCGCAGACCGACGATATCCTGCCTTTTCGGAACTCGCTCGATGCGGAATATGCCATGCTCCTCGCGAAGCCTCCGTTCGGCTTGGGCCTTTCCGAGGACCAAGTGAAGCGCGTCGCCGATATGGGGATGGAGTGCCGGTTTCGACGAACCGCCTAAAAGTGGGACCAGGTGAGGAGCGATGCGAGTCCACCGAGCAGGTCGAGCCCGTGATCAAGAATTTTCTGCAGAATTACATCCTCGACCGATCGATTCTCCCCATTGATTCCTCGAACGCTGTATCTTCTCGAGATAGGCCCCCTCCTCACCAATCCCGAAATACGGCACTCCTGGTCCGTCTCGGACACTGCCTGACGTATAGCCGGCGCTCATACGCGATTCTTTGCGGGGCACACATGGCGTTGGATGTACACCTCATACTGCAATATACTGCAACGGTCGTGAGTCGTGATGGCTCATGGTGGAAGCAGCTCTGTTCATAAACGCGGCGCTCCATCTTGTCCCGCAACCGATGTTGCGCGTATACCTGGCTCCGCATGCTCTCGCCGACCAGGATGCATCGCGCGTTCCTCATCGCAGAGATAGCGCGGGACCACGCAGGTCATGACGAATAACGTCTGGCATGGGCGTCAGTACTGAGATCTGTTAAGCATGGCGCTCACTTGCAAGACCCTTCCGGAAGCTGCGTTAGGGCCAAGATTGTGGATATCGACGACGTTCTTCGCCTTGGTCAATATCCCTGAGCAGGTTCGTACTGGTCGTCAATATTGGACCTGCGTACCTCATAATATTGAGCGCCGGTTATGTAGGGATCCTCCATCACCCTAAATGAAGCCTTCCTCGCGTACTCTCGCAGAATTAGGGAAGTTGATATAGGGAATAGCTCCCCGTCTGCTCACGTCTCTTTGTGAGACGTACATGCTCATGAGCAAAAGAACGGCGCCAACATCTTTCCTCAGCTTCACTCGGTCACCATTGGATATCGTGCATCACCATAGCGTCGTGCTCATCACTTCTCTCCTTAACCCATCTGTCCGTAAACGACGTCGACAAGTACTATCTGGGATCTATCCGACTTGAACCGGACCGGTCCTCCCACTCGACTGGACGAATTCCGTCGTCGACTACCTCGCTCGCTCCTGTCCGTCGGTAACCCAGCATAGATATCGGGGACGACGTTCGAAACCCGTGCCTGACGTCCGCCAGCCTCCGTCTCTTGCGCGACGCATATTGTCCACGCCCTGGAGAACTTCACCGTGGGGCTTGAACTCGTCCGATAACGCTTTGCTGACGTGGTTGGGCGGATCTTCCCCATCCAGTTCGGAACCAGAAATACGACGCTCTTCTCCACAAGCTCTTCCCGAATCGGGATAACAGGTTGAAGTGATGGCTTCAGTCAACCGTGTGCTGCGTGAGGCGACGGTCCAGGGTAGACCTGGATTCATAGACACGTAGCATCGAGCTTGCGACGGAATACGAGCACTTTTTTTCGTTATACCGGAAATACATACAATACACCCTCCCTAGCGTTGCCTCAGATGATGGTTCGAACAGCGGTCGCAGCTGATTCTCCCTCGCTGAGCTTCAATGTCCGACTTCGTTTCATTCGAGAGATCTACGTCGCCGTGTAGACGACGATCTTGTCCAAATCCCCGGCGTAGTCTGCGCATCAACCATTCGTCAATCATGCATGTTTTCGCTGAGAAAGAGAAAGAGAGAGAGAGAGAGACGCGCAAGAAACGCTCACTCGATTGCCCCGATCCGAACGTGAGCGAGTTGCTCCCGCTCTTGAGCGTGAGCTTGACGGGCACGCTGAGCGTCACCAGGCCATTCCCTGTGTCGGGCTGGTCGACGTACACCGTCGCGCCTCCGTTGACTGTCGCATATATATATGTCTTAATCAGCATGCGTTCAAAGAAAAAAAAGGGAGAAAGGGGAGCAAATCCGCGCACCGGACACCGTGACGTTCCGCCAGCTAGAGTCCCCGTTGGCGTAGTAGAGCGAGACCCACTGCGGCGAGCCCGTGCCCTGGACGTCGTTGATCGTCACGGTCCCGCCGTTCCCGAGGTAGCCGACGGCGCGTCCGCCCGAGAAGGCGCCGTTGGTGATGAGCGTCGACGAGCCGGCGCGGGTGCCGCTCTCGGCTTCGTACGTCGTCCCGCTCGCGACGGCGTACGTCCCCGCGGCGAGGTCGAGCGACCACACGTCCGCGTACACGATCTGCGGGACGCCTGCGATTTCCGACCCCTTTCCCGTTAGCGCTCTCTCTCTCTCTCTCTCTCTATACATATATATATATATATATATATATATATATAGGCAAGGAGCAGGGCGGAAGACGTACCGGAGGCCCAGCTGAGGGGGAACCACATGTACCGGCTGCTGCCGAGCAGGTCCGGGCGCCAGCGGTCGCCCATGTAGATCGCGCTCGAGCCGAGCGGGAAGTCGTAGTTGTTCTGCGAAAAGTAGGTCCGGTTCGCTTCGGGCGCGATGTCGGCCTGGGAGGACCAGGTGCCGGAGATGGAGGAGGCGGAGAAGTATTTGTCTGGGCGAGCGGAGAGGTTAGAGTGGGGGTTGGGGGGTT